CGAAATAATAATTCCCAGACTTGGGTTTCTATTTTCAAAAGATATAAAAATTAAACTTTATAAAAACTTAAAACAAATCACTCGATTGTATAAAATCTCTATTCCTCAAACAGTAACTTAAACCTAATATATTAGTTTGTTTGTTTGTTTTTGAAATTCGCTCAAAGCTTCACGAGGGCTATCTGCGCTAGCCGTCCCTAATTTAGCAGTGTAAGACTAGAGGGAAGGCAGCTAGTCATCACCACCCACCGCCAACTCTTGGGCTACTCTTTTACCACCGAATAGTGGGATTGACCGTCACATTATAACGCCCCCACGGCTGAAAGGGCGAGCACAGATAACCAACTGTGTAGTTCTGTGCTTAACAACAACCAACCAGTTTCCTTCTTCCAGATTGAATGGGGGGGGGGGTATAAGTAACGTATTCGTGAATTTGTTATCGGATCACGTCCAACTATTGACGGTTCTTCAAAAAATTGATTTGCCAAATGACCCAGAAGCAATAATAAGAAAACATCTAGAGAGAAAATGTCAAGGTTGGTAGTTAAACCTGTTGAATTCCGTTGTCAATGTTTGGGGGTTAAACCTGTTGAATTCCTTTGTCAAGTTTGGGGGTTAAACCTGTTGAATTCCGTTATTAAGGTTGGTGGTTAAACCTGTTGAATTGCGTTATCAAGGTTGGTGGTTAAACTTATTGAATTCCGTTGTCAAGGTTGGTGGTTTAACCTATTGAATTCCGTTTGTCAAGGATGGTGGTTTAACCTATTGAATTCCGTTGTCAAGGTTGGTGGTTTAACTATTGAATTCCGTTGTCAAGGTTGGTGGTTTAACCTATTGAATTCCGTTGTCAAGGTTGGTGGTTTAACCTATTGAATTCCGTTGTCACGGTTGGTAGTTAAACCTATTGAATTCCGTTATCTGGAGTCTCGATACTGACCAGAATGATGTGATACTCTACTAACGTAATACCACGTGCTGATCTGTCGACAAACTTCAAGCTCTGATTTTTTATGTTTGGGAAATTCCGAATTGACAACTCTGATGGGTTTTTTATTTGAACAAGAAGCTTCATTTTATTCACAACCATCGCTGAATCTCTCTTTTGATAATTAATCAATTCATATAGTAGACACAGTATTTCATTTTCTAATGGGATTAATTCAAAAACCTTGCACCAATATTCACTCTTATTGTCAGAGACTACAGGGCTAGAGAATCTCGAAAATATCTTACATTTTGTATGTATGCTGATGTGAACGTCTCGTCTGAGGAAATCCGAATTGAAGATGGAGTTTCCATCAGTTACTGTAACCAGGGAAAACCCCTAACTAGGGCTAACTGTCATACGTAAGAGGTTTCGGTTGTAGCCTTGGCAACCTGAAACTTGAAGTTATATTACACCAAACCACTAAGTGAGTGTTTTAACTAAATACGAAACTAAATTTTGAACACTGCAACTTCCAGTTTCCACTTTAGTGATTTTACGAAGCCGGATTTTGTTGTTTGTTTGTATGTTGAGTTTTGCGCACGGCTACTCGAGGGTTATCTGCGCTAGCCGTCTCTAATTTAACAGTGATAGACTAGAGAGAAGGCAGCTAGTCAACATCACCGAACGTCAACTCTAGGACTAATCTATACCAGCAAATAGTGGGATTGACCGTCACATTACATCGCTCATTCGGCTGAAAGGAGCAAGCTTGTTCGGTGACGGGATTCGAACCCGCGACCCGCAAGTTGTGACTTGAGCACCTTAACCACTAAGCAATAACATTCCCTAGCGGATTTTGAAAGGACGCTTAAGTTATGCCACTTGACTTTTAAGGCCCAGAATTCGTTATATGCCATTACGGTGGATTGTGAAGAAAGTAAGTGTGTTGAACTTAACATCTTTTCACTCAAAAGTGTCACTCTTAACATTTCTGCAGTTAGAAGTGTTACTTTTCACGTTTCTTTAGGCAGCTCTTCAACACCAAAATAAGATTTTAACTATTGACTTGTTGTTCGAGTCAACATAAACAACTAACTGGTATTATATATATATATATCTTAGTGCTCTTTACGTTTTCTTTACGAAAATCGGGTGATCACATGAAAATAAATTCAGTGTGTCAGTTTACCTTCCGTCTTATAGATAATCGTTTTTATATAGAAATATGCATAACCCTGTCTACCCACACGAGCGCACAAACTACAGGGCATGATGTAACGACCTGTGTTCATAACTCATTTGTTTGTCAAAACTGAAGGAAGGAGGAAGAAGTGTTTAATCCTGATAAAACGAATTAAGTGTCATCCACTGATTGGTAGTTTGTGTCGCCTTACACCACAGCATCACTGGTGATTTTTTTTTTTTACAAACATTTCCTTATTCGCGCTATCAGGTACGAGTTTCCAATAAAACATAACAATATCTTGACCACACACCTTGTGGGTCGTACGTCACTGATGACGTGACTAAGATAACATCATGTGTCTTCTTACTGAAAATGCCCCCCCCCAGTGGCACAGCGGTATGTCTGCAGACTTACAACGCTAGAATCCGGGTTTCGATACCCGTGGTGGG